CCACTCTTACAAGGAGACCATCTTAGCTTCGGGTCATGGATTTGGCCCAAACTTTATTTGGCCAAAACTTGCCTAGAAAGTTCAGTTTGATCTCATAGGCTTCTGGAAGAAGTACGACCCACATGCAATATTTAAATATTAATTATATGTACAAAAAACCCTTTATTGTAACCTAATGACTCAATAATTATTAAATCAAGTCCAAGCACATTGAAAACCCTTGGACTTGTACTTTTCCTTGTCCTGAATATACGTGGAAAAGTATGATACTCTAGCTCTATTGGCTCGCTGTCTAAATTCAAATAAACAAACTAATTAGAGCCATAGTATGCGCCATTACGCACTTGGGATGGTCTCCTTGTTAGTCTATATTGTCGTTGTCATTGTTTTATCTACACTTCCATCTTAGCCAAAAGGCCGAGAAGGCCAACACTCATACAGAAATTTATTAATAATTCAATGTAGTTTCCAAATATGTAAACCACCAAATTTTCCTACGACATCTGGTTCAAAATCTCATTTTCGAGCCTATCGCGTAGCTTCCTCTATGAGGAAGTAATTAAATTTAAATCGGCGATGCCAAGGCCTCATTTTTCACTTACGGAGTACCAAACTTAAACTCATTATAACTTTTTTTGTATTCTGAATTTCCAAAAACGGCTCTATTCACAAATAAATTTGATTCATGAATTAAACTTGATTCAAATCTTTCATGAGAAGTCCGCTTTGATCCACTTTAATCTCCTAGAGCCTAAAAAGCCTTAAAGAGCTGTAAGGTACACGTGAAGTTAACTTTTGGCTAATTTTAATACCTGGAGCATACTCAAAAAAACTGGAGACATTTAAATCATGAAAGATTTAAATCAAGTCTAATTCACGAATCAATTTGATTCGTGAATTAAAATAACCTTAATTCATAAATCCATTGGATTTATGATTTATGGGTTTTTTAATTAATTTTTTTACAACCCTAGTTTCGCGTACGTGAAAAAGTACACCCCCCCCCCTCCCCTCACCCAGGTGAGTTTTTTTAGTACCTAAGTTCGCGTACGCGACCGATTCTGAATAGATACATCAACTTAATAGACTCATTTTTATATTACAATCGAATTAAATAAAACGCGATGCATCCGAAAAGCTACAAAATTGTTATTTCATTTAAACAACAATTTTCTACTTTCAATCCTTCCAATTATCCTTAACTGATACTAAAAAGCTGTAACTAAGCTAATTTGTAGATAGTTTTTCTTATGTAAATTACAAGTCCTTATAGTAAAATGTACGAACAAGCATTAGTTTAATTTAATGTATAAAATGACGTGACGAAAATAGTAAGGTAGAAGCACAAGTACTTGCATTCTCTCCCTTTTTAAACGTTACACACGCCTATACAAGAAAGCTTCGGCACACATATAAACGTGTTTCATACAATTTTTACTCGAATTCGAGTCAGATATAGTAAAGAAATCTTGTGAAATCGAGCCGTTACCTTCTTTTTTCTACACAGAAAAATCCTCAAGCACAAAGTACAGTCGTAAAAACAGGAAACCCTTTTGCGCGTGTTAGGTGTATAACAAACGAATATAACACACTTGAATAGGTTGGTTTGATGCGCGGTATATAACAGCAACAACAGAGGTAACCCTTTATCGCTTTTCTTCAAATTTAACACCCGAGAGCGTGCCCGAGCTTTTTTTTACTACTTTGCCAATACTCCGAGAGATAGAACAGAAATAGAGAAAGAAAAAAGGAGAGAGGGAGATTGGCGTACAGACGAGCTTTTATCGCATTGCAAATACCAACGAAGAAGCCATACGTAGAGAAGTTTTATTTTTGTTTTTGTTCACATCGATGCAAAATTAACGTGATTTTAATAACGCCGGATCGAAACATTTTCTTATGATTTTATCAATTTTGTACATAAATAAGATAGATTTGTTATTGTATTTTACACTAATTTAGATATTAGCTGCAGACAAGTTTTCGATACCGTATTTTAATGAATTCAGATGAAAGTTGATTAATTTAAAAATTATTTTGAAACACGTACCAATGGGTGTTGCATATTATGTGTGTGTATGGATAAATCTCATGAGGTTTTAATAACTCTCAACTCAAAAACAGTCATGTTAATATTGTATGTAACTTTTGAAATAATACAGGCATATATAAAAATAAAATCCCATTATAAGTAACGTCAGACTAAACCCTACCTTTCCTGAAAAAAATCAGGTCAATTTTCCGATGGCACCCTTCGAGAGTATAAGATTCCGTAATGATACGTGTGTTTTAAATAAATTTAGAGATTTTCTATGAAATCCTATATTCCTGAAAGGCCTCATCGAGAATGGTCCTGATTTTTTGTAGAAAAGATTGGAATTGTGTCATAGAATCTAATAGTATTTTACTTTCAAGTATGATTGCGCATTATTTTAAAAGTTATCATTATTATAACATGACTATTTGAGTTGAGAGAATAATAAAGTTATTAGAGCTAGTCGTACGGTGAGAGACTTTCGGTAACTGGGTTTACCCTGTAATTACTCGATAGAAAGTAGTTGTATTTCTATTCGACTGTTATCATCTAATAACTTGATTGAGGGTACGTCAGGGTGTAAACATAAGTGAAACATCGAAAACTGCACGCGAACACTCACTCAATCACTTATATTTACATTAATTGAGATGCTGAGAGCCAGAATAACAAGGTAAACAATAAAGAGGGCGTCAGAAACTGTCTAAAGGCGATCCAGAGAATATGCGTCACCTAATCAAATCACACGAACAACACATTTTAGTTTCCCGTGTCACAGACGACGTCAATGTTGCTTCATCTCTACTATTTGCTGCTGTGACCATAGACTTTGCTATTGCCGTTGCTGTTGGGAAGTATCCATGCACACTTCCAATCGTTAGTGTACAATGAAACACGTCGTAGCTCCCGTTCGTTTAATGTTTACTTACCCAAACATACGCTCACATAGCTGCGAATCAAAGACGCTTCGAATTTGTGCTCTTCTCTCGAGACTTTATATCTCTATATACTTTACCGAAACTTGCGAGTTTTCAGCATATACAATAATTTAAAGTTCTATCGTCTCTCTTTATAAAAGATCTCTCGCAGATTATTTAGTTTTATCGACACCTAAACCACCAACGAGCAATGTTTATTGCGTGTACACTATCTATATACTTTTTCCTGATAACTTTTCACATTAAAGTATTTTTTTCGAAAATTTTGTAGATTTCATGATTTAGTGATTATGATCAAATATCGTATCTTTTATATTCTCAATCTTGAAATGATTTATGATCAACTAAAAATTATTGATAAAATACTTTAGGATGTTAAAATATTTTAAATCTAAAAATTTTAAGTCAACCTCAAAACATCAGAGAATTGATCAAAAACACTAATTGATAAAAATCAGTTAAACCCAATATATATTAAAAATGCATATTTGAATCTCTTATTATATTCTAGATGGTATTTACGTGTAAAGATTGCAAATTAAAATAATAACTCAATAAGTAAAATTTGGATACCAAGTCGCTAGATTTTATAATAAAAACAAGTAGAATTGAAATTGTAGAGCTTATTTCATAATCAATCAAAAACTAATTAATTGAATACGGGAAAAAATGAAGCTGATCTAATCTTTAATTTTTTTAATACAATTGTGTGATCATTGAACCAGTTTTTTGGAATTAATAAAAGTAATCAACATTGATAAATAAAGTAGTTAATTGTCAGGAAAAATGGATTCATTGTCGAATTTAAGAATAAAAAATATTTTTATGGCAACATACATAAGGTTGGGTAGTGGAATAAAATATAAATCATAATTTTTATCGTGTATTCATGGGTGATGATAAAATCTGTCAACTTTATTGCCGCTCACATCAGAAAGATAAACTGATTGTCTCATTTTACTTATTGATCAGTTATAATCATTCAGGTAAATCTATCATACATTTCATAATTTAGCTAAAAAATTATTTATTTCTTCTTTCTCTAGTATTTATCTGTTATATTATATCTAATAGGTTGACATTTTGCAATAATAACATATTTTCATGTATATTTTATTAAATATTATTTATATAAACATAAAATCAACTTAATCCGTTGAAAACTAAATCAGAAAATAACAATAACAAAAATGACGATGTCGACGAAGGCGGTCAGCGTGGATAGATTTTGCAACAATAAAGACAGTTCTTTCACGATTATTTTCATAAATCTACGTTCGGTGGTTAATTTTTATAAAAGCTGCATTAAAAAATAAATAATGTAGCCTTTGCACTTACAAAGTTAATATAATATTTTTACAAAACGAATTTCCACTTTTTGCAAGATGTATTAAAAAATTCACTGCCTTTGGATAAATATCTATATTCTTCGTCATTGGTAGAACATCATCGCCCAATAGGCACATAACAACACACGTCCAGCGTTTGTTCGTTTCAATCGTTTTACTTGGACGTAACACATTTGAAAATTAATTCTTTCATTTGCAACGTCGAAACGAATGGTTGTTTTTTTCTTATATTTAATATCTACAATACAAAATATGAATTCATATCTTTCATTCTCTCTTTTATATATCGAGTACATTATAGTTTACAGATGATAACGAAAAAATTTATGAATAATTATAGCGTAAACTAAACATATTTTATAGTTTAATATACGGAGTTTCTTGGAAGACTGATAAATAAAAAGGAGGCACTTGAACATGATGTTTTCCTTTTTTTTCGTTTGAGAGCAGACCTCGATCGAAAAATTGATTACTAACCTCAACATAATTTGTGTCATTTAATTTAGAATGTTGCGATTGATTAAAATTATGAATATTATAATTATATTGAACTAATATCAAATTCATATTACATTTTCAATTATGTTCGTGATAAAATAAAAATGTTAATATTGAGTAATAACAGACTTGACTTTTTTAATTTACTTTTCGTGATTCAGTGATAGAAATAATAAAAAAGTAAGCGCTGTTTTAAACATATTTGATTAATCAATTTTTTTCTTTTACCTACCAGTTTGAAAATATTTTTGATGCTGGATAAATTTAGCAAAAGTCAAATTAAAATCCATCAACCACACAATATCAATAACATTGACAGACTACGCTTATTACAATTAAATAGGAATATAGCTTGAACAATAAGAGCAGTAATATCAACAAACGCGCTCAAATTCTATTTGCAATTTTAATTCACTTGGAAAAAAATCATTGATTCAATACTCGTGTCAGCATTGCTGGCAGTGCGTATTATATTTTCAAACACACGAACATACCTAAAGATTTGAAGCTTGCAAGATTTTACTTGGATGATGATATAAATTAAAAAAAGAAAAAAATGTTAAGAAAATGCGCTTCACTGTTGGTTTGATTTTATTTTTTTCATTCAAGAACAAATTATATGAGTCATTCACAACTACGCGGTGGTGTTTTTCGTATCGGGTTACTATTTTTCGTTTCCTCGAAAAAAATACTGCATACAACTACTATTAATAATTCTTACAAAAAACAAACACAATTGGCTGTACTTGAAATTAATGTAGGACTCTTTTAAACGTTTCGTACACTATAAGAAGCATGAGCTCTCATTTATTGTCCAAAATGGGAACCAAATGTCGATTTGCGCAAGGTTCCTAGCAACCTTGGCTACGCGACGATATCCATGTCGGATGACGAATTAGAGGTCGTTGGCGTCAGGCTTCCCAGAGTATCCTCGTCGGTCAGTAGCGTATGATGGCAATGGGGTGGCGAGAGTGGCGCTACTAAATGCGGCGAGGACAACATTGGATCACCGGTGCCGTGTATTGGTCCATGGCGATCCTCGTCCATAAGTTCGTCGAACGCCCCTATGCCTAAATCGGGGGTTGAGGCATCTTCCGATATCAGATCAGGCAACTGCAAGTAACGAAAATCACATCAATTTTTTCGCTGTAGAACAAGATTTACTTAGTATGAGTGTGTATATGCGCAATAGTGACCCTTAAATACAATTATCTATATAAGATGCTAAGACGGAATAGTTTTACATAAGCGGAAACGTGGTGAGAAGTCTTGTGCGTGTAGATTGCATAAGAAAAGACACGGATATACGAAAATCCATACAATCGAACAAATTATTTGCCCTTTAATAAAATGAAATACTAAAGTCATTCGACTGTGTACATGTGCACGTAATACCGGCGCACATACACGTACGTAGAGCGTGGAGGAAATGGATAATCTTCTTCGTACACATACATAATCTTGTTATACGCGCATCTTCCGCTTGTAGTATGAGTGTTTGCAAAATTTCGCATTTTGCAATGAACAATTAAGATCAAGATCATTTAATTGTGCGCTCTATATGCCTGGCTGCTTCGGACGATTGGACTGCTAACGTTAGATAATTGTTGAAAGTATAACAAAATTAGGTTCTCTCTTATTCTAAAATCGGTACGACGCTATATAAAATAAATATTACTAAGTGAAATCGAAGTCTATTTGGTTTTTTTAAATTTGTAAATCAAAAATACTATCATGTGCCAATGAAAAAAAGTTATACAGGGGTTAAAAAACTTGAATTTTTATTGATACCATGGAGTAATCTCAGAGGTTATTAGACGGTGTTACGAGTTACGAAACAATTTACAAAGTGTAGAGCAGTTCTTGACAGTTAAATGAGATACATCGTCTGCCAGTGACAAGAAAGAAACGGACAACTATATATAAATCCACCAAGAACGACAATATTTTTCGTCGGAGTGGAATTTAATATTTTTTAAAGAGCCCAACAAAAGAAAAACAGAAAAGAAAATACAGCTGCTAAAACTGTGTGTGTGTGGCTTGAATACATTTCCGATTTTTCATTTGGATGAAGTTTGCTAATTCTGACGCTGTTTAATTTTTTAATCGCGTCCGTAAGAAACTTTTTCGAAAGGAGACACGCTCATTTGAGTGCCTGGCATAATAATTTGAGCCCTTATGTATTACGCGATAAATATTTGTTGTGCCATGCGTCCCGTCTCATGTTTATGTATTTTTTTAACGAAAATTCAACTAACATGCCTCTAATGTTTTTTTATTGGATGAAACTTAGGTAACCTTGTCAGACTGCAGCCCTTGTCGCGTGTTATTTTTATTCAAATTCCAGAAATACCATTTACAGCCAAGACTTTCGCGGTTATACTCGGAGAATGACTTGGCGATATTTTTCGTTAAACATCAACTTTTAAGAATTATCGTTGGCGATTTATCGCCGACATGGTGAGCGTAGCAAGACTCAGCAAACGCGTATACGTAAGTTGTATATTCGTCAAAAGTGCATTAGATAAAAAATTACATAATTGAGTTTCATTCTTTTTAATAAACGACTAGTGGCGATTCATATTTTCCGAACTAAAACAAGAAACCGCATAAACTTTTTTTATTTCAAACTGTGCGCGCTGTGTCTATACTCGTATGAGGTACACGAGCGCGAGTATACACGAATGAATTATCTCAAACGCATCCTTTTCCGCTATTCGTTGCATAAAATTTTTTCATTGAGATATCCAGATAACAATTCGAATTTCCGTTCCCAGACGTCGTAGTAAGTCGGGCTATCGTCGTAGCCTTGCCTCTGCCGTGTTCGCAAGGTCAGGCAAGAAAATATTGCAATAATATAAAAAAGAAGAAAAAAAAAGGAAAAAGAAATGAAAACATACGGACAACATTCGGGATGACATTATATGTCTTACCCGGTTGATGCTTGGGCAACGGTGATGATGATCCTGATGCCTGATGTCGCTCGCGCTGCTGCCTCTCATGTAGGATGAATTGATGAGGTTGCTGACCGACACCACGGATGGCGTGTATCCGTAATCCGTAACTGGTATACCGTGTGCCTTCGCTTGAAGCTCGAGCTCCTGCACGCGTAGCATCAGGCGTCGATTTTGAATCTCCAGTTGTTTGCTTTTGTTTTCCGACGCCTTCGCGCGCGACAGCTCACTCTTCAGCAGCTTTATGTACTCCACCGAGGATTTGAGAATTGTTCCTTTGTTTGGCCTTACGTCTCGGACAATCTCGTAAAATCTGCAAATAATTTTTGTAACGCTTACTTCAAAGTGACTCAATTTTGATACCAATACAAACTCATATACAGATCGAAATGTTTATCACTTTATTCCGATCGGATCTGATACTTTTTTAGATTAAATTTACTTTTATTTTTTTACTCTTCCTTTTTTTTTTAAATCGCAATCATTCGTGTAATGCGGACGCAAAAAATATACACACGTTTTTCATCTGCACATATTCTTACGAGTGAATCAACGTTGTGATACTTTCGACATAAATATCATGCATTCCATCAACCTGTTCGTCTGATTTACTTTACGTTTCGATAAAATTTTTTTAACCAATTGGATTTTTCTCGTTTTATTGCTGCAGCATATTTCCGAATATTTTTCTTAGAAATGTAAAATGTAAATAAAAACTTTTCTTTTTCGGACACACTATACGCATATCGTTATTATCCTAATTAGAGAATGCGCTGAAAAAAGACGAAACTCATAAGCATGGACGCAATCGTTTTGAAATATGTATAATAGGCACCTACATAGCGAGTCGATCAAGCAGCTTGCGGTCTAGTTGGCTAGGTAAATTATTTATTTTTACAAAGTCTTTCCATGTACGCTCGCTGTTTACAACGCTAGGCAAACTTTAGGCTCTGCATGTGCTCAGACTTTTCGGATGTATACATAACTGAATGTTTGAAAGCTCACGCGGGCGTTTATTCTTTGCATAGAAAACTTTAGAAGCTCCTTGGAAGTGCATATATATATACGTGCAGTCTATTAAGATTTACTTATCAAAAACGCTTTTCTTCCATCAGCTGTAGCTCGTTAACGTTATATATCCTCTCAGCGGTACAAACTTTTTTTAACGAGCCAAAGTTGTGAGAATAAAAAAAGAGAAAGAATAAATTAACCTATCTATACTCGATAAATTCGCTTCTCTTCGTCACTTTTGCTTCGATATATAATGTAAAATTCAAATTTTACCAGAGAGATGACAGTTATCTCTCGGTGGGAATCAAGCTTTCATCTCGCGTGAAGAAAAATGTATTTATTCATCGAGGGCCATGCAGCAGTAGTAGCGGCAGCAGTTCCTTTTTTTCCCCTCGCTTTTCCATCCTACAACTCATTCTCTTTCGCGAGCGTCGCGCATAGGGCGCTCGCGCGTCGAGATTTACGAGGCGAACATCGCGTGGATCCCAGAAAAGACGTGAAACGATATCGCTTGCGGTGGCTTTGGCGTGTTACAAATTTGTTCCTGTCGATCGTTGGGAGATAAAAATTACTTCCTCGCTTCCTACTGCAGCCTCATTTTTTGTGGCTTTTTTTCTGTAATTATTACCGAGAAACTCGACCGTAAAATCTAGCTCGCGTACGTGTTCGAACGTAGGTGTTATAAATTTTGGGAGGGAAAAAATTGAAAAGCAAATCGATTCGGCAATTAATATGGAAATTAATGATCGCGATACAATGCGATATAAACAAGTACTCGAGCCTTTTTCTCGTCGTGCAAGCAGAAAGCAGGCTCGAGAGAAGCAGCACTGCGACGAGTCTTTTCTCCAGCTGAAAACATACGTTATTTTTGCGCTTTGAATACGTACACACACTCGCTCTTGCAGTCGCTTTACTTATTATTATTATTTTTATAGCGCGGAATTCTCGTAATAAAATCCCGGTAACACTGCGGAATATTCGAGTTTTTACCTTGGCTAGAGATATAGAGCCTTTTAACACCCCCGCGAGCTTCGGGCGTGTGCGCGCGCGTATGCACCAAGAGAAGGGGATAGAAATTCCATTGGAAAGGATCGAATGTGATTCGAAGCGTGAAATGAAACTGCTTTTCTTATTTACATTTTATTGGCATTTATATCATCTTGGGAGCGGCATTTATAATGCTGGATACGCGTATTAGTCGCTCGATATTACAGCTGAGTGGATATATGAAATATATAGGATGGATATATGCCAAAGGTATTTTGTCAACACAGCCATCGAAACGAAGGGTAAAAGAAGCTACCAGCAGCAAAGTTAACAAAAGACGCCACCGCGATCTGACGCTTATAAACACAGGTAAACCGATAAATCCCAATTGGAAACTTTGCGATCTAAACCGACTCGAAGTTGTTGTAACTTGGCTGACTCCCTGTCTTCATGAATTATATATGTAAGTGTGGCTCTGCGTGCGCGTGTGTGTATGTGCGCCTAAGCTTGTCATCGACCAGTCGTAAAGTTCGTGTTCTCGGCGCACAGGAGTCGTTTACACGTGTATATTCCGTAGTGCACACAATCGAATTCGACAAGTGATTGATCGATCGATTCGAATTATACGTGCTGCGCTACATGTAGCTGAGTTAAATTTCGCTGCGAGATTCCTACTCGAGATACGGGCCGACAATTAATCGACTCTGAGATTTCGCCGATTTTGAGGAAATAAATGTATAATTTAGTCGTCGCGTGGGCGCAGCAAAAGTTTATCTATAGCGAGTAGTGATTGTAGAGTGTGATTGTTTTGTTGACCCGGCCATAACTAAAAAATGCGTCGAGCGACGACATCTACATGCGCGACGTCGGTTTCAAATTTTCACCGGTAGAGCAGTCTACTTATACGGGACGTTGACAAATGAATTAGATAGTGGGCGCGTGCGATTGATAAATTGTCTCTTATACGTCGTGGCATAGTTGCTTATGTATAATCGACCGTGCACTATTATTACTTTTATCATTATGTATAAATGTTTTTTTTTTCTTTTAAGTTACGAAAATAAAAAATACTATTGTTACCCTTGGAACAAATAATGGAGCTTAACATAAAAATGCGTAATTGCTGTCGGTGCATAGTGTCTACTGTATGAACATTTGTAAAAATTAACAAAGAAAGAAATTGGCATGCAACCGATCTATGTAAGTGCTTTTCGAAATGTGAATTGGTGTTAATTGTTTTCTTTCGAGAAAAATATGTCACGTATGTTATGAGAAGAAGATACTCAATCATAATATAATGCAGTACATATTTTTAACGTCCCATCCGGATTTATAATATACTTTTAATTATACATATTTATATAGATGAATGCATTGCTCCCGGCGAATTTTTTGTCTATGTTTCATGCGATTGCTAAAATTCTTTGCTTCAAACAATACTATTACGGTATACAAAATAGTGATTTCAAATCGTAATTTTTTTATCGATAGATTTCTTTTTTGTTCATTAAGTTTTTTCCAATAACAATTGGTAACCTTCGCAGTCATTGCATTTCAACGCCGAATTTTTTTATGCGTGTGTTTTTAATAATAAAGAATGAATGAATAAGAGAGAAAGAGTGAGCAAAAGAAACGATTGTAATAATTATGTTCAATGCATCAAGTACTTCTTTTGAATGTGCAAAATGCAAGTAGTTTTGTCCTTCTATTTTGCTGAACGTCGAAGATACAATATAATGATTTACGCTGTAAAGTTATTCGAAGAAAAGAGAAAATGAAATAGGAACCTATAGATACTATAAACTTTAAATAAATGTTCAAGTTTCTTTTTTCAGAAGACTTTCTAATTATTCATTATCCCAATTATCCTATTTATTATTTTATATCTGATATTTTACTTACGGATCATTGGTTTTAGGCAAAAGAGTTCCGAGTTCTTTGATTCTGTCATTGATGTTGAACCTTCGCCTTCGTTCAACTGAAACAAAAAATAAATATAAACGTTAGATGACACTTCACGAACGTCGTATCAAAGTTTTACATTTTAAAAAAGCAAATCATAATTTTAGGCAAATGCGTTGACAATGAGTCGATATTACACACAATAACATTGTTAAGTGTGACGCCAGGTAGTCCTTGAAATTTAATTAGCCTGTCAACAGGCTTTGAACTACAGTGAAAAAAAGGCAGAAAATAACATTACATAAAACAGAAACAACGTTTTCTACGCTGCAGCATAGCTCTCAGAATGAAATACAATGGAGTACACGAGATAAAGAAGAAAAAAAAGAGGAGCGATCGTCGTCGTCGTCGTCGTCGTCGTCGAGAAAAATTGACGCGAAAAAAAGCGAATGTCACTTGCAGCGCAGCGCCGCTTTAAGTACGCGAACTTTTATACAGATCACCTTGACGTGTGTTATTATAGATCGTTAAAAGAGGCTTTCCATTAAATACATATATGTTACTAGCTCGGGCGGAAAATCCGCTGAAACAAGCTCATTTTCCGACACTCGATGTGTGTATGATCGCTTGTATACAAATCAATTGTACCGTAGGCAGCCTCATCGCATTTATTTAGGTATCATCACCACGTTTTCCTTTTTACTTTTTTGAAACTTGCACTTTATTAGCTTTCATAGTCATCGCACCTCTCCATCAATCTCCTTCCTCACATCTTATGTACATTATCTCAGAAGACTATGGCCGAGGTAGAAAAAAAAAGAAAAATTCGTTCGATGCGAAAAAAAATCCCAAAGAAAAGTGATGAAACAAGCTTCGTTCGCATCTTGCATAGGTTCTCATGCACACGTACATCTATATATTTACGGAAAATCTCTGGGATGCGATACGCATACGCGCAGCTACGAATAAATCGAAAATGTGCTTGCGAGCGCCATGCACCTGAGCTATTATTATGCGTGCAGCTCGTGTGTATGTGTGCGAGTGTGCACAATATCACGACGCGCGCGGGATGAGATTTACAACTCTTGGCAGCGATAAAGTCGTTCGTCACGCAGCCATGTACCGTATATTATATATATATATATTTGCATCTATACATTCTCAAGACATAACGCTATATAAAACTCGCCAGCTGTAAACATATGATTCCTTTTTTCTTCTACTTTATTATTGATAAAATATATTGCTCCGATACTACTGTTGCTATACAAATCTGTTTCGTAAATCTTCTAAAACGATAAGTGAAGCAATTAATTATTATTTTTACTAAACTAAAAAATTCCTGTCTTATCTGAGCTGTAGTTTCAAAAGAACTTGATCGTAGAAATAAAGCCCAAATTTGATTTGTCGTCGACGCGTTTAGAAATTCGCGTCGTTTGCTATTTCACTGGCTGCATCAAAAAGTTACGTATAATATAGTTAACACGATTCAAGGCACAGAAACTGCTCCGAAGGAAAGAAATTTTTCCGACTTTGATAATTTAAGCAAACTCAATGGCAGTCTTGAAAACTTATCAAAGATCTCTTTTTCTTTCTCTCTGCAAGACAACAATACTCAGTCGCGAGACAACAAGAGTTCCAAGTTGTCATTAAACACGTGAGCTTATTGGCCTCTACGGGCTACTTCAAACTTTTTTATCCTTTTTGCCGGTGCAGACCTCGATACTACTATACTCGCTTGAAAAAAAGTCAAGTCCTTTTCTTCCGTTTTTTTTCTTTCGTCACATTGAAAATTCAAAGTCGATACTTTTACTTTAATATAAATTCGTTTGACTTACAAATTATCCGTTATTCAACAAAAGCTTGATATTGTTATGTTACAGAGGAAAAAAGTTATGTAAATGATGAACGAGAGGAAGAGAAAGAAAAAAAGACAGTAGCTTGGGTCGACCAAATTGAAGAGCAAATCAGAACGAACGTACGGTGCTGAACGCAGTTAGTAGCATGAAAATCAAAATCCTACGTCGTTAGAGGGGCTCTGCATACATGAAAGTGTGTGTGCCCAGCGTTCTCCGTGTGTCCAGGGTGAATTTTAATGTCATCCCTTCGGACGCGTGACACGAATGACAACTTGAGTTACAAGCATGTGCGTGTTGAGGTATGAGTGTATAGTATATTATATCTATGTATACACAGATAAGAAAGCCACGTGTTCGTTTTTTCTGGTATTCACACCGAGATGTGTATATCCTAGACGACAATTGAAAAAAATCTCACCTTTATGAATTCATCTTGTGCAACTTTTGCTATTTACGGATGTTAAAAATAATATTAAAAAATGTATATAAGTACGGCAGCACCGGCAATAAAGAAGCTACGCTGGGTATATAATGCACGTGGATGAACTATGGGCATGATGGGAAAGAGAAGCGAGAGAAACAGCAACAAAATAAAGTTTGTAATTTCACCGAAACATCTGTGCTTCCTCTTCCTGACACTTCTTGTTCTCTCTCCCGACTCGTGCTTTGCAATATCGCCGCGTCGCTTCGACGCTACCTAGATATACAGGACATACATACAAACGCGACAGCGCACCGTATAATACTGTTGTGTATATCGTTACGTATTCGCCGTTCGTCATATTTTTGCAATTATTTTTCATTTCCTCCATTTTTTCCAATATTTTCACTTATGATGCTTATCTTTTGAAGAAAAACAAAATAAGACGCGAACCTTTTCCTCGCTACAGACACCCATACTCTTACGATATATATGAAATGAAAAATATACACACACTTGCATCTATTGTATAAAACGACCTCAATGTTTTATTCATTCGCTTTCATTGAATATTCAGTACCATATTGGAATGTTACATTATTCCCTTACCTAGGCGTCGTTGTCCCGAAAAAAGTAAAATCTCGCAATTCTAACACCACACACAGAAGCCTCAGTAATGCTTGCCTCCTTTGCTAAGCACGTACTTCTTTCTTTTTTTCGCAGCTAAAGAAAGGAAGGGTAGAAAGAACAGTCGCGCGCACATATAACAGCGAGAACGAGAGAGGGAGAAAAAGGATATTGGCCAGTGAAAATACGTGCTTGTGGTGGTCTGCCGCAACGACACAGAATGCAACGACGCGCGACCAAAATCTCTCTTCAACGATTTTCGCACCACCTGCATTGGTGTGAGCGCAGCAGCAGCAGCAGCAGTAGTACCAGCAGAGGTTACAATATGTATATATATCTATGTGTATATACGTGACTCGATTGCTTGAACGCCAAAAATGAAAGTTCGAAGGCGATGAGGGCGGCCGTGGTATGCTTTCTTTATGCATTTTTGTCGCAGTTCGTCGCGGAGAATTCATCGTGAGGTACGTATAAAACATAGTTTGTAACGTCTTTTTGTTTTTCTTTCCATACACAAGTTATGAGGGAACATTATGCAGTCGTATAAAGCACGAAATAACGATTTTGATACAATTAAAAATTAAGCTATTCGAGGAGTAAACTTCCTCGATTTGCTGCAATCTTGAAGATCCTTGACCAGCCCATATATATTCACCTCTTTTACTATATTTCGACTAAGTTTTAAGAAATGATAAACTAAAGAAGAAAAAGGCTCAGAGCGTACATACACATACATAGGCTACACGGGTTCACTCTTAACATATACGTTCACGTGGTGTGCCAGAGAAAGAAAGAAAAAGCTGGTTGTAACCACGATTTCGTTTCATTTATCCCATCATCCACTTCCTTTTCGCCCGTGAATCACCACTCGCGCACACTCCCAGCGTTACCCTTTTCTTCGTCGTCGTTTGTTCTCTGCTGCTTGTACTTTAAAACTGTATGTAGCATTCGCGAGAAATAAAGAGAGAGAGAGAGAGAGAGAGAGAGAGAGAGAGAGAGAGAGAGAGAAATACATCTCTCTCTTGAATACTAGATGTGTGTGCCAGCGTATGCATGTATGCATGCGCGTACTGCAACGTTGGCACTCGAAATGCCTTTCGCGTGTGCTCGCGTGCCGACTTACATGTACTTTTTTCTCTGTGTATACCCGACGACGACATTTTTCGACGCTTGACTCTTTATTTTTGTTTTTGTTCCGCTCCTCCGTGTATATATCCTTATACACCTCGTGTAACGTCGTTAGTCCTTGCACTCCCCGCGTAGATGCGCAGAGGGAAGGAGCGTGACACTACACCGCTGCATGCGAGCTGCAAAGTTCAGCGCACGGTACTACTTCAAGACTCGGATTTTTATTTTTCATCATCGACGGTTGACATTTTCGATGTCACATAGTTTCTCGGCACGTAGCTATTGCATGTATGCTAGATCGAAAATAATTAAAGTACAAAAGTGTTGGCTGCATTTCAACGATTCTTTTTCATATTCACCCAATGAATCCATTCGTTTATTTTTACTTAATATTGGCTGATACATATGAATAGGCTGGATACAGTATAATTGGATTGACCGGTATCAATGAGTGCACGCATCAATACGATGTTACAATGTTATACGCGAACTAGGTACTCAAAGCAAATGATAACGAAAACTCGATCTCAATTTTCCGACGTTGTGTGCTGCGCTGCGTAGATGTTGTAGCGGCTACAGCCCGTTCTATAAATTCCGCGTACATTGCCGCAAATACTCCTATACATCCACCATGTGTGCTATATATGTAAACAGCATTTCGTTTCTAACCGCTAACCTCATCAAACGATTAATTTATTTTTCATTAAAGAACCAACAAAGTTTGCTCTGCTTTTATTGTTCGAAAAATTATCAACAATCGTGAATAAATTTTAGCCGATACAGAGATGTATCGTTGAAAATGCACGACTCGTTGCGCGTCTTCGTCATAGTCGTCGTTGCGCGTCTTTCTCTCTAATTGGCGAAACAAGTTTGACAACTTGGAAATCCAAGCTCTATGTACGCGAGTGAGAGAAACCCAGAGCAACTTTTTGGAAAGAAGCAAAGAAGAACAAGAAGAACAAGAGGAAAAGTCGAATAAGAGAGCAGCAGCTATCCTCCATGCCCTTGCTGTACATACAGTGGGCAAAAGAGCGAGCACTGCACGCGGAGTTTGGTAAACTTGGGTATAATGCGCAAGTGTGTCAATTGTCCTCTCTCGTGAAACTTCATGTATACCTTTCTTTTGTATCTTTTTGCCTTCTTTTCTCGTTTCATACCATACGTTTGTTTCTTGCTCAAACGTTTCCCTCTCTTTTTTTTCTGTACAATGCAAAATCATATAATAATAGAGTAAAAAAGATATAAACTTACTCATGTTGTGATTGTCTTTTTTTTGCCGATCTTTGGTAAGTGCTGTAATGTCAACGTCGGTGATAAGCAGAGGTTCGGGTTTGATCGTCAAATCGGTGAGGTTACTCAAACTGCCGGAGTGGACCTCGTTAGCCTCGAACGACAGTAAGTCGTCCAATAAATCTTCAGGCTGTTTGATCAGAAAAATAAAATTATCATTAGTCACATGAAAAAAAATATGCATAAAAATATCGAAAATAATTGTCTTCTCAGATGCGTGAGTAAGGAAAAGCTAATGAAAAAATAGATAAAAACTACTTGGGGTAAGAAGGAGGCTCTGGGCATGAATTTCATACCATGAGTCAACGCATATATACTGGAGTTCTTTTACCATATATAGTACACTGGTTGTATCACCTCGGGCTTTCGTGAAAAGTAAAAGAAAAGCTCACGTGCAAAAAACAAGGTATAAGGAAAGACATATAGAAAGCTCGGTAGCGCGTAAAAAAGTTCGCGCGCGCGACGAAAATAGACTCGACTTTTTAGCCACTGCTGTAGTGCAGTTTGTAGTGTGTGCGTGTGTAGCACCTTGACTGTTCAATACGAACTTCTTCTGTTTCTTGGCCTTTTTTTTATTTTTCTATTTTGCTTCTGAACGCTCTCACATGCATGGCATGTCAAAGCAAGAGCTATGCTGCTACCTCTGTATATTAAAAATGTGCGCCCTTCGAGCACGAAATGCACTGGCGGCACTCTTGAACCGAAAGTAATTGCGATAAAGAAAATTTCTAGTTTATTGCATTAGCTTAGCTCCATGTGCAGTTTTCCGGCTTAACATACGTAATAAAATGCATTTCATGTAAATTGTTTGGATTTGAATTTTACCTAATATTTAATGCTTGGAGTTTAAGGGCTGCAATGATAGTCATCATTATTAAAAATGAAATAATTTGCAATTTACTCGAGCTTATAGATAAAATTAAACTATTACTTGAAAAAAAAAAAAAATTGTAAGGACATATGTTTTTACTAATGTTTTGCGTGCACACCCGAAACGCGTAAAAAATGATTTCTAATCCGTTTTGTTCGAACGTAAAAAATTGAGTTGGAATAATGGCTCAAACGACAAACATAATTTAGCGTTCACGCTGGTAAAACTGATGTGCTGCTGGCATGTTGGTGAACTACTACTTGCGAGGAATTCGCATTTGAGCGCAAAATTCATTCTTTTGTTAATAAATGTGAATAACATACAATGGGTCCACGCGCGCGACTGGAGCTTTTTATTATATTTTCTTACTTTTTACATTATGTGTCCCGGTAGCCCGCGCGCAGGACAGTATAGCGGCGAAGGGAGAGAAAATTTTACGATCCATCCGTATTTGCAGAAATTGCTTTCAACGCCAGAAGTTGTTGTATATATAAGAGAGAGAAAGTAAAGCTTTTAGTTATCATAACTCCAAACTCCATTACATTTCTCGCGTGTACTGCGCGTACAGAAGCAGCAGCAGAAGCAGGTCTATAAAGCCCCTAGAACGTGTGCGTGTGGAATAACTGAAAATTTTCAATCTCTTGCTCTCTTTTTTTCGGTATTTATATTTCTTCAAGTCTTGCGCTAGAGGTATGGAGTGAAAAGTTCTTTAAGAAAATGCTCTCGTCCGTGTGTTTGTGACACGTGTACAAAAGCTCTCATACATCGACGCGGGAAAAGATGACCTGATTCGCGAAATTTATGGCAACAGAGAAGAAATATCTCGCGCGCTTGATCAAAGCTTCACGTACGTGTGGACGCGTGCGATATCTACAGCGTATCGATAACTTGGCCAGTTATGGACTCAAGGCATCGATCATACGCTCGATCGAGCCACGAGAAGACAGATTTCCTAGCCGCAGGAAAAACGAGCGAAATCATCGCTTTTCTATGTATAATATCGTTCGAATCGATGCTCTCGATAGACATCTTTTTCCACGTGCAGACACTTATAAGAAAAATAAAATATTATCGGTTACTAATGAGTTAAAATTAACTGCATCGCTTGTGCGGGGTTCAAATGAAAGTATAAAGCTCCCAAGTACGTGCAGAATACGAGAACAAGTCGAAAATTGAGCTAACCTACTTGTTTTTTTCTATTTCGCAGGCTTTGAAGCTCGGCGTTGCGTATTTGAGTGTTTATATTACGCCTATTGTTTGATGTAACAAGTGGCAGTGATAAGATACAATATTTATACAATTGTTTTAAATTCAATGTACGCGCACAAGCTCGCCCACATATAGACGGCTATCATAGTGTATACACAAGTCTTTATACACCTGAAGGCGTCGTCGAAATTGTATTAATAACTTTTACTCTTTTTAAAAAGGTTTAATTGTTAAGGCGCGAAAAAATTTTGCATTCAATTACAGGCGCTCTTGATATATATGTTTAAGCTGGCGCGCAGCTATTCAAATAGTCAAATAATATAAAGTGTAAAATTCAATATGCGGACGCGTCAGCAGCTCACAGCATCTTAACTTTGATGATGAAACTTGAACTTTTGTGGCGTTGAATTACACTTTTAAACGCACATACGCACGTGTACACATAAATGCAGGCTCGCAGACACGACAAACAGTTAACTTTGCGTTTGGCAGGCTCGGACCATTAACAAATTACGCAATGTCGTAGTAACGAGGACATCTCATGGCTATGCGCGCGCACACATACACACTCAGAAAGCTCGTTGCAGGATAACGTATATTGCATTAAAGGCTGTCGGTGAAGTCTGTTATTGTTTTCTCAAAATTTCAAATGCTTTATTGGATTTTTTTCTAGCGCGTAGTAAATAAATAAATACATGAAGTTTGACGTAACTATGCCGAGTTTTCCAATAAATCATAGAGTCGAGAATGCCGTTGTTAGAATTCCACCTTCCTCGTCCTCGCTTGTGCATGCACTCGTCAACGACGTCGATGAGCCGTTACAAAATATGAGCCTTGACTCCATACACTCTGTAGCGTATATACATGCAGATATGATCGATTCGCGGAAGTTTTCGCCAAGATGAGATCAATTAACGATTAAACTCCGTTGAAATAATTTTCTTCTTCATCCTTTTTTTTATTTATTTTTTATCTTGAAGCTGAACATTAAAATTTTAATATCTCCCTAATGGTATTAGCCAATTTCTCACAGTAAAAAAATTAAAAGTAGTTCTTTTTTGGATTCAATCATCTTATAGAAGCAATGTAAGTATAATGTGCTTGCACTTAAAAACAATGAGCGTTTGCACTCGCGGAAAGCTTCAACAGCTCTTCACGCGTATGCTCTACAGTCGCACATAAATAAAGTTTGAAATATCAAACGGCCAATTGCTCGTATACTGACATATGCGCACACGACGGTGACGATCGAATGAAAAAAAGAAACTTGTCGTGCGTAATATTATACACACGCGAAGAGATAGAAGTATGATGTGCACTAAATGCAGTATTTATATGTGTGCGTATACGTACTATATAAGTACGGTCGGCTTCGAGAAAGGATCTAAAGAAAATATGCAAAATCGATGAGATACGAATTCAATGGAAGGTTTCTGATGTAAATAACATGTACTAAGACTAGCTGCTGTATCGAACTTTATTCTTCGCAATATATTTCCTATCATCTTCAGGCAATATATCATTGTTATAAACTCCTACGGACCCTCGTAATCTCATTTTTTGATTTGATAACAAATATATTTTACCGATAATAATAATTATTATGCAATTGAAAAGATGAATGAAAAGAATTTGCCGGAATGACATTATTGGCGAAATTCCCAAACGATAAAATACACTTGCTGATTTGCATCTTCGCGTCGCTTCATTATCAGTGGGAAAGTACAGAAACGCGTCAGAAGAGATGACGAGCGACGGGTTATTGGCAAAATTTTGAAACGACTTTTCGACCCAATTACACTTTTTGGCCGGATAATTAATTAAGCCAAGCTTTGGTACCTGCTTGAAGTAATTTTCGGCAGCTTTTGATGAATAGGAATAAAAAGTGGTTTTATTATTTGCCGAATAAATTTGCTCATGTTTGTGTATCTGTTGAAGTATCTGTGGAAAGCTGTTAAAAAAATTAAAAAAGGTGAACGGCCATCTCCTTTCTAATCGCTCGTCGAATGTAATTTCAATGAAACATTCACGATTTACATTCACTGTAAATAATATTTCAGCTGGATAATTATTTTTCAAACGTTCAAAATCATCAGCGAAACAAATTTGTGAAACTCCGATAAAAAATATGGCAATGATCGCGCTAATATTGTTGTTCGCGACTTTGCTTTTAACGTAGTTTATTCTTACGCGCGATTTTCAATCAAATCATTGGTAAACTGCCATTAATGCAGGCCTGCAAGTATATAAACTCCTACTGGCCAAAATCAACTGACCCACATTTGGCCAACTCTAACGTCATCATGCGTGGCTAATAAAACCATTAGGCACACAATGCAGGAAGCAGATAAAAAAATCGATTCGATATCGTAGCCGAACTGTTGCACACAACGTATGGGTTCTGCAATGTGCAAGGGGTGCGAAATTTGAAATAAAAATACGCAAATTGTGCTTGCGCTTGCGAATTAAACAATCCATCACACGCATCATTGAGACAGCACGAGCGAGAAAAAAAACAGATAATCGTTGGAAAAATATGCTCTTTGCAGCACAACGAGCGGTTGTTATTATTATTATTATTATTTTTTTTCATACTCGTAAAATAATATTTTTTGCTTTAGCGCACGTACGCTTTATCAATCTGCATTATTATTCAATTGCGCTTTATAATTTTTAATATTCACGCTATGATACAGACCAACTCATCATTTTACGTTATATGTACCTTCGGACGCATGATGCAAATTATCACGGCTTTGTAAAATCACGATGATTTTTATTCAACGCTTAAACAAACCGTCGCGTCGTGAGAAATCAGATAGTCACCTAACACCCAGGCACAAAAGGAAGATGCGCTCGAACGAAGACTATCGTACATATATACATACGCAGCGTTTTATAATCACAGCAAAATCGTACACGTCTATAAAGCAATGCGGAGCGATTTAATGATAGAATATTATACCGAGTGCGGCGCATTATTACGTACACGCAAGCTACGAGAGAGAGAAAATCCGCGTTTGGGTATGTACACACAGGTACATGAACAC